GGGGAGCCCCGGGGCTTCGATCCACTCTCCCGTCTGCTCAGCGGGAACATGGATCGAATTCGCAGCTCAAGCCTGCTCCTGCCTCCATCGCTGACCTTTGCACCACCACGGGTGAAGGTCAGGAGCCTGGAGCGGACGGGGCTGCTCCCCCACGCACCTCGGCTTGTCGGAAAGGCCGCTGGGACCGCTGGCGGCAGACGGTGCTGTCCTGAAGAGCACAGCCCCTCACAGAGGGGGAAGAGGCTGCGTCACCCTGGGACACAGCCACGAAAGCGCTGCAGAGCCCTCGACACCTTGGCCTGTGGATCCGGCATGGAGAGGGCTACTGCGTCTCTGTCTTGACGTGGTCCCCAATCATCCTCCGGTGATACGTGGCCAGGAAGATGTCGTTGTCTCGGGGACAGTCGTAGTGGCAGGAGCACATCTTGATGAACATCATCTTCCGCTGGAAGAAGTCCCCCTCGGGGCAGTGGAACTCCACCTCCACGGTGCTGGTGACGTACGGGGTGCAGCAGCGGCCGTCCGTGCAGCTCCCGCAGAACTTGGGCCGGTAGGAACGGGTGCTGGTGCAGCCTGAAAACTCAAAGTGGAGGCTCTGGCGTGGCTTCGGGGTCCGCATGCACTTCTTCCCCTTCTAGGGAGAGAGCAGAAGGGTTAACAAGGACGCGACAGACGAAGGGGCCACCGAGGCCTGTGCGCTATCTCCATCGCTGGGCAGTAGGACACAGAAACGTGGAAGCACAGAGCAAACCCTGTGAGATGGGCTCACGCCTGACAGGTACCCAAGCGGGTTGTCCTGGGCACTCACGGTGCCATGTGCCCCCTCCCCAAGCCCAGTACCTTGGTCTTCTCCATGGGGAAGTCGCAGGGCCGGACCATGCAGAGCCGGGTCTCCTTCTCCAGGCGGCACTGGGGGTTGTCATTGGTCACTCGGGCCGAGATGCCCATGCCACAGCTCCTGGAGCAAGCGCTCCACTCGGTGGTCTGCACCAAGCAGTTCTCCTGCAGGTTATTCAGCTCTGGCTTGTGTGCTGGATCCTCCCTGAAAACTGAGCCACAAGGCAAGGTTCAGGGCTTGGGACAATGTGTGGCAGCTCCGTGACTGCTCCCAACTTGGTCTAACTCTTCAGGAACAGCAGCAAAGGTCTGATCCATCCCACGAGCTACTCGGCCTCTCGGCAGAAGGAGGATGCAAGCAAGTATGGGGCCATTTCCTACCTCAGCCCAGCTCCAGCCAGTTCTGCTGCGGTATCGGAGGGCGTGCGAGCCTCCCCAGCACCACTAAGGCCTCACCTTAACGGGTCCAGAAACCAACGCTCGGCGCCCACACGCCGGCGCACAAAGTGAGCAGCCACCCCCAGTCCCACGCCAGCTATGAGCCAGGGCCCTGACCCACAG